ATTTCGTTTTACGTGCAAAGTCTAACCGGAAATCACGGTGGATTCCTGTGACACATTTTATTAGTACGACGAGATTAGTCGTATAACTATACGGTGTGGACACTCTCACCCTACCTAATAGGAGCCGTTTTCCTCTTACGAGTGATAGTGGTCTAAAAAAGTCTAAATACACTTGTTATAAACTCTCTTAACATAACAACACATACTATCTGTTACAAAATCTAGAAACCAGTAAGTACTTTTTACCCTCGTTTTGTTTTCACACGCACTATACCAAACAAGTCACATCAACGGCACGCACACGTAAAGGCATTACTGACCATTATTACACACGGTACTCTTATCCATAACGTCCCCTATGATCGTTCCAAATGGTCTGACCCCTTCTTTTTCCCTTTAGGGAGTATTGTTTGTTTCTACCACCAACCAGTGTGACGTGACTTTGTAACATAAGGTGTAATAATATTGTCAGTTTACACTGACACTGTTTATCGTCTAGACATCAAGTCCTATTTGTACAATGAACTCACACTGTGTTGGTATACCTCATCTTTCTGTCTATGTCCGATTCTCAACGTTTGTTCTGATTCCACAAGTCTTCATATTGACGTGTAGTCTTTCAACTAACGGTATTCATCATGAATTGGAGTATGTGTGATTAAATATCCAACCAGACAGAACAACATAAAGTTAATGGTCTGTCGTCACTACGTTCTCCATAACTAGGAAATGAAATTCACTTGTATCAATCTTACACCTTTGTCGATGAGGTAGGATTTAAGACCGTAAGTAAATTGAGATTATTTTCATGGTCAATACCAAAATACCAATTATGTAAATCTTATATGTTTTACAGTCACATCTAAAGTTAATCACCTAAACAATAAGTACTACGTAAATGTACATTCTTCGTTATATTAACAACGTTCCCGGGGGTCTGGGGGGGTCCGAAAACCAGTCAGTATCTGGTGTGAGGGTTAGGGTTAGGGTAATGTTGTGAATCGAGTGGCCTGGGTTCGTCGTCCATAACATAAGCCTGTCCATACCATAACCCCACCACCACCATGGGCCATTCGATTCACAACATTACCCTAACCCTAACCCTAACCCTAATCCTAACAGTCACACCAGATACTGACTGGTTTTCGGACCCCCCCAGACCCCCCCAACAAAGCAAAAATGCACGTTTCAGAGTGGCCTTTTATTGTGGCCAGCCTAAGGCACACCTGTGCAATAATCATGCTGTCTAATCAGCATCTTGATATGCCACACCTGTGAGGTGGGATGGATTATCTCGGCAAAGGAGAAGTGCTCACTATCACAGATTTTTTCAGATTTGTGAACAATATTTGAGAGAAATTGTTATTTTGTGTATGTAGAAAATGTTTTAGATCTTTGAGTTCATCTCATGAAAAATGGGAGCAAAAACAAAAGTGTTGCGTTTATATTTTTGTTCAGTGTAGTTGCCCGTGTGCATTTCCTGCAATGACAGGTAATAATGTGTGTCATGAAGAATATGTATTCAGGGGATACTGCAAGGTTTACCAGACTGAAGAAAAAAGGGAAATCCCTCTAACAAATATGTGGTTTGGTCACACTGCACTGAACATTTCTTCCACATTATATAAACATCAAATGTGACTGTGACAAATAGCAGATCTGTAGTTCAGATAAACATGTTTACTGAGTGTGACACAACCATGGAGTAGAAAGACAGATACAGCTAAGAGTTGCAAACAAGACTGTGTTCAGAAGTATAACATGCACAGAAAGTTGATGCCAGAGTACTTAACCTCATACACACTAATTATATGGTTGGTCTGTCTTGTTTGTATTTCAATACCAGACAGCAGTGATGCAAGAGGTATTGATCCTTTACTTAAGTGAACATAGTTAGAATGTGGAAACAAGCTACTCCATTCCAAATTCCTGCATTCATTTAAACTCTAATAAAAGTACAGTTAGTTTTATGGTTAATACATTTAAGTATACAAAATGTCAGTGTATATTTCATTAGTGGATTTGTTATTCATGATGCATTTACATGTAAGAAGCATATAATTGTTGCAAAGGGCAGCACATTTCCTTTGCTGTTGGTTATTATTAACAGGACTGTTGTCCATATCTTAAATTGTCATGTTTTAAAAATCTATATAATTTAAATGGATATCAAATACATGTAGAGTGGTAAAAAGTACACTTGTTGCCTCTGAAATGTTGTTGGTTAGAAAGATACAATAGCAAAATTAGGAAATATATATTTATAAACCAAATACAACAAAACTGTAATTTCGCCATATTTTTCTGAGAATAAAATCATACAACATGTGAGTAACAATTGGTAGGTGGCGGTAATGCACCGTTTCGTATTTACGTTAGATCCATGCGTTGAATGTAATAACAGTGACATTTGTCCTAACAGGACTCCGTACTTGCGCGAACATTCCAGTAGAAAAGATGGCGGCCGCCTTTGCAAGAAGGGTGTCTGGTATGTACTGAGAATTTGACATTACAACTTGTATTATCTCACTCCCTTCACCATGTAAATGTTTAGTATGGTTCCATATTCTAATTCACTGAACTTTTGGCATAATTGTGCGAACACATGTGTGTTATCACAGTCAGTACGTGGAGTTGCTAAAATAGCTAACTAGCCACAGTGCTAGGTTTTCTCAGCGCTGTCATGTTGTCCTTGTGTCTGACAGGGCTGCTGAGGCCGCTGTCTGTCTCTCTGTGTGCCAGGACAACGCAGCTCTGTCCGCTCTCCAGCCTCATCCAGCCTGCCCCTCTCTACGGCTCTGCTGCAGCCGCTGTCCGCGCTCCTCTGCGGGCTGCGGTGTGCCTGACGCCCCGCTTCAGCATCCTTCAACGGTACAACAACTCCTTCTGATAACCAGACTACTGTTCAGTGGACAGTTAATAACCAAAGCCCGTCACCACTTCATAGTTGAATATTATCAACACATGTATCTTTATAACTCTACTATTCATCGTGTGAGAGAACACAACTTACATTGACACTATAGGCAATAGAATATAACACAAGTTTTCTGGGGCTGTTTCCAGTGGTTTGCTCTGTTCCATTTGAGGGATATCTTGCTATCACAACATATATAATATTACTTAATGTTATACCATGCATGAAAACACATTTGGGTTAAGATTAAAGTCAGTAGCAACAAGGATATTGTATTCAATATCTACTACTTGTCATTTGAGAATTAGTTTTGTAATTATGTGACGTGAAGATTGGACATCCAAAAGAGTTAAGCACCACAATCAAAATGCTATTCCTCAATCCCGACCAAATAAAACAAACACTTGTGTTAAAGGTGGGGTAGGTAATTTTGGAGAAACCAGCTCGAGTGCGCTAGAATTTGAAAATACACAGCCGGAAAAAATCTGCCACAGTTTGTGCACAGATGGAAGGCTGACAGGCAGGTAGGCCATCCAGTTATTTTAGCCGGGCCGGCTAAAATGATTAGTCGTGCTTTTTACAGTATTACGGCTTCCACAGATGAAATCTTTTTATGGATTTTTTGTCAAAGCACTTCAGATATTCATTGCTATCGGGATGTTAAGAGCATTCCATGGAATATAACGAAAAGTGTATCTCGAGCCGGTTTCTCAACCTTACATAATACCTACCCCACCTTTTAAGCAGCTAGCCTCAAAAAGGCCTGAGAGTCTCATAGTTATGGATCTTGGGATTTCCCTGATTCTGATTAGCAATTCATGTTACCTTTCTCTACTCTGTGTTGTTGTAGGGTTTCAGCTCTTATTCCCAGTCTGACTCAACAGCCAAGCCGAAGTCTGACCTATGTCAGTCTGAAGAAGGGGAAAAGGAAGTCTGTCAAATCTGTGACGGAGAGATTCATGAGGCTGCACTGTGACCTTTGGATAAGACGCAAGGTATGAATCATTTGCTTAGAACTGCCAAGATCAGCCATTTCTTGTCTTTGCACATTTTTTTGAACATGTTGCCAATCTGTCTTCCTGTGGACATTGTTTACAGGCTGGATACAAAAAGAAACAGTGGAAGAAGATGCCTGCTCGGCGAAACCGCCTGAGGGAGCATGTATTCTGTAACAAATCACAAACAAAGCTTTTGGATAGAATGACAACCTCGTTTTGGAAAAGGAGGAACTGGTTTGTTAATGATCCGTACCTGAAGTACCACGATCGGGTCAACCTCAAAGTGTAATGTGCTGGTTCATGTGGTGACATCTTCTTTTTGTGTTTTATTATAATGTTAAATAAGTAATAAAATCATGTTAAATGATCCTTTCCTTTTTAAATGCCTGTTTTTTTAAAGACAAAAAAAGACTAGAACACAGTCAAAGATTAGAACACAGTCAATTCTTTACTTACTATTTGACCCAGTAGAACAATTAATTGATAGCGATTAACCATCATTTCATCACTTCACTTTTGTATTTCACAATAAGGTTGAATTTGAATTATTTTGACATTCTGGCCTGCCAGAACTACATTTCTTAGGATAACTTAAGTGGTATCTCCTCATGAATGAAGTCAAAGTGGCACATTTACCAGTAAATAAGACAGTATTCATAGGTATAGCCAACATGGATGTATAGTCAGAACATTTCATATTCTTTCTACAAAGCAACAGAACATGACAAAAGGATTCACTGTTTACCTGCAAGGTGTCTGAGCAAAATCACTTAAATCAAATGTTCATACAAATTAATAACAAACATCATGCAATGATGAGTTTCAGTTTACGCACATGTATACAAATCTGCTTCTTAGCAACATTTTTTTTCTCTTTTGCTTTGCATGAATTTTAATAGGATATCACATCCATCACTAACACTGATACTACTAACGTTGAAACACATAATCGATTTTTCCTGTTTCATTTTTTTCACCAAAAGTCCATTTAAAAGGACAATTTATGTGCATAAGTGTATCTACAACATCAGAGTGAGTGACGTGTAGACAGAACAGTTGTACCTGAGAAGCTTTCGTTTCAAACTTCAGACTCTTACTGAAACCGATACAAAGATGAAAATGATAGATCTATGGCAGAAGTCTATCCATCAACCAACACAGTGATATTGTGTGAAATGTTGCTTTGTCCCAGGCTCAGTGAATTAAGTAAAGGATGAAAACATAGAGTGTATCAACAAGCAATTTAAACTTAAATGTAAGTTTGTAAACTAATAAAGTCACTCTAATGAATTCTTAAAAATCAGGGAGCAGAAGATTGTTGGGTTTAGTGTTGCTTCGTTAACAGCAGAGCACTACACAGTGATTTCAAACACGGAAAAATAACCATGTTTATATTTAATAAATATTGACTCACGGTATAGCCTATTTCTGCTAAAGCTCAAAGTATCATATTCCTAAATGGCCGACCATTGCCAAATGAATGATCAGTTAAATGCTTAAAAAATGAACAGTAGATTGTCAAAAACGGTAAACTCCATAACCTCCTGTAGTAGTGAATTCATTTTTCTGTGGTGTGAATACCTTTACCACAGAAAAAAGAAATAAAGTTTTAGTGATAATATTCAGCTATTAATTTGTTATGAATAAATGTTTATGTATATTTTAGGCCATTTAGGAGCATTGAGGGCAGCCTTTTTAAATAGTAAACATAGTGCAAAATGGTTGTTTAATGAGAACATATTTGTTAGAAATACTTATGTTGAGACATTTTAGGTTGTTACGTCTTTCTTTAAGGCTTTAATAGAGGTGCGTAACAAAATATTGTCTGCCACTGGTGTTCAGTTTTACAAAGGTAGGATGTTTAAACTCAGAAGAGTGATTTTTGAATAAAATGAGAATTAATCAGTGCAGAATGCAGCTGATCGTAGATGCTTCTATAGAACAGATTGAATGGGGGTAAGACATTTGTTTTCTATTGAACATTGGCTTTTACTACATTCTTTTACATTGACCATGTCACTCTCACTCCGGCTTGTAGTATTCATGAAACTACATTCTGTTAGTTAACAGCGGACCAATGGCTGGGAAGACACGCATGCAATTGCCTATCCAAACCTGATATACAAAAACAATCAAATCAGAAAGATGAAGTAACACACACACCGTACATAAAAACATATAAAATAACCCATCAAATCAAAAGGTCTATCAGCATGGAAACCATTCATTCATATGCACTCGATGTCACAACCCTCAATGTTTTTCAAATCATGAGCCACAAGATGTTATATAAATAGAGGGGTCATCATAGGTCACTTTGGTAATACCTTATTCCAAAGCATGGCTGCTTCAGTCATGTAGCTTTTGGCCATTCATATTTTTTACTTCTTGCAGCGAAGGCAGCTGGAGTCTTTAGGACAGTTTCACATGGCTTCATTGTTCGGAGAAAGCACTCCTGGATCTTGTGAGAGGCCTTAAGACTCTAAGAGGAGGCTAGAAGGGAAGACAAATAAAGACAGTATTTAATTTATTTATACACATTATTAAAAGGATACTGCTGCTGGCTTTATTTTTGTATGTTTCTTCTTGTCCAAAGCCCAGAAGTTCCTACTAAGGACATACATCTATTAAAACAGGTCAAACGTATTTAATAGATTTTTTAAACTGCATATTTTTGGAAGCATTTGTTGGGGACTATTTGTTGCTGTGGATTATTAAATATGTTTACTGAGTGTTAAGGGCAGCAAGATGCATGTACAGTATCTGGGATAGTTTTAACTAAAATACAGTGCCAATGTTCAATCTAATAGGAACCAGTGCAGCTGTGTGGATCAGGTTTTTTTTTGTGTGTTATTTTTAGACAACAAGTGGTGTTTGGCAAAGAGGAATAAGTAATATCAGTCTTAAAGTAAAAAAGACAATACTTATTTGTAGAATCAATACAGTCAATTTCGGGGGTTTTTTTCATGGGATTTGTCAACAGTAAGAAAAATATAGAATATTGCCGCTGTGTCCTTAGAACAGTGCAGCTCAATTAAGCAACACATGCTAGAAAAGGTTATATTAGATGTTAAAATGTATTAATGAAAACCAATTTGGGGTTCACACCTAGGGACTGATTATGGAAAATCATTTCAATAAACATCACATTATCAAGTTATTATCAGGGCTGGAAAGCAGTGTTTTAAATCCACGTTTATATTTTGTTCCCCATGCCACATTTCAAAACCAGTGAGCACCCATGCAAGATCACACGTTCATTTGAACCAAACAATAAACCCACCAAACACCCTCCACAGTTTCAGGAGTTCTGAACTGTGATGATTCATTTAGCTACTCAGCAACAGAAATGAGTGAATCGGTGAGTAAATCCCCATTCTCAAGGGCCAGTTAGATTCAGGCAGCAGCTGAGAAGCCACGCTGACGAGGCATTGTACCTCAGGAGCCTTCCTCTTCATCAGCCTCAGCAGTGGAGAGCTTGATGCTACCGGCAGCCCTTTCTCCACCTCCTCAGTTTCCTCCGGAGCAGGAGAGGGAGGTGGGGAGGGTGTGGAGGGTGGGGAGGACTGGGGCGTCAGAGAGGACGTAATGAGTGTGGACTCGGACTCAGAGGGTGAAATGGTCTGGGACAGCGACTCCTTGGACTCCCATTGACCCATACCCAACATCTCATACTCAGTCATGTCAAAATCTGTGCCATGAAGAAGGATCAGTGGAAGGCATGAACAACGTGTCTCTGGTTTATTGAATGTGTGTAACTGCTCTTATTGACATCATTGAGAATTAGGAAAGTTCTTATGATGTGAAGATCATAAATAATTGAAGTTAAGTTAACATTTTTGTGTTTTAATGGGATTTGGTGCCAATACCATAACATAACCTTAGTTTATCCTTTAAATTGAGAGGATCCATAATTGAGTAAATGCTATTATTATTCTCAGATATTAACAGATTATCTTAATTCCTTGTTCGATAAAAAGGTTATTATGTCTTTACACAGCGGACAATTGTGTTCCAATGTTAACATTTCTGTCTTAATGTAATGTCTTAATTTCCTCCTCAAAAAAAGAATTATCAGCTGAGAACAAATATTTAAGGACACGATCCAGAATTTAACAAACAACAACTGCTTCCACATGATGTTGGGAACAAATCCCCCCCAGCTACATGTGAGTTTAATCACAGGGTGGTGAGCCTGGCAGGCCCGCGACGCCTGACCTGCTCCAAACAGGAAGGCAGGACCGACGTTTCGGGGCCACTCAGGAACGCAGAGGCTCTAAACAATATCTGACGGCTTAAACAAGCTGGAACAGGAAGACAGAAATCTAAAAGATAATCTGTTTTACACAAACGAACCATGCAGGCACTATTATTGTGTTATAATAGCACCATTATGGCTTATATTGTCAGCACTACAAGGGAGTTTTATTACGCCCCAATAACAATTTCCTGGGCCAGAGTAATGTATGCTCACCCTTGTTACAGCTCTCCGACTTGCTGCGCATCATGGACCTGGTTCGAGTTTGTGCTGCTTCTGCAGGCTGCGAAGGGTCAGGGCCGGTTTGACTGGTGTCAGACTCACAAGAAGACAGATCCTGCATACTGAAGCTCCTCAATCTGTCTGACAAAACCCCTTGGCTCTAGAAAAGGTAACACAAGGTTTTCATCTAGTGTCAGTGGCAGTGTGTCAACAACATAGATCATCCTGACAATAGGCTACTTTAAAAACAAATACACAATAAGCCTATGTGCATATGCCCCTCTACTGTACCCCCAGGTCAAAACAAACCAAATATCCAGAGTTTGCGTTACCTTTGTTGCAGCCAGGACGGCAGCTGTGGCGGCAACATTCAGCCCTTTTCTCCCAAAATGCACCAGTGTGTCATAGCTTTTGTCCTTGGCTTGGCAGATATACTCGTCAATGTCCTGTAACAAGGACAGAAACAAAATGATGTTAACCTTGTCCCCCTCGTTATTAGGTTAGTCCTTAATGTATGTGCTGTGTTGACATGCGCTTCTATTATGCTTAATTGCCTTACTTATCTTCTCCAACTCACTAATGTGTTTCCTGACTTAGGAGGAAAAAGGAAAGGAGAAAGGGAGGAACACTGACATTTCCTCTATCCTGTCCTGCCAACACATCTTTAACAGCAAAAGTAGAAAAAACTCAAAGGGCACTTTTGTTCTCTGGACAGCTGCAAAGCTCAAATTCTATTAGTTACAAAACATGAAGGCTAACTTAAACTAAATATTTTCCCCAAAGACTTTCCTTGAATCCAGCAGTGGAAGAATAGGAAGGTACGACAAAGGGAAGGATTTCACCTTTTCTTTTGAGGAAAGCGTGGGATGAACAAACTTCCTGTACAGCACACTGGAGCCCTTAGTGTAAGGGGACAGCAGCCACACCACAAAGGCTATCTTCAGTTCATAGTAGAAAGGAATCCTGCACCAAAGACACAAAATGATGGAGCCACTCCATTCCACATTTGATATAAACATGGAGTATAATGTTATATTACTTAACATTAAAAACAAGTCACTTACCAGCAAATAAACATATCTGTAAACACTTCCACAGCAGTGAATAGGGCAAATATTATCCAGTACATCATCCATTTTACCTAAAAGGTAGGACAACAGTGAAAGTTAAAGTAGTTACACACAACACTTTCAAGAATTGTACATAAAAGGAAGTCATGGCCGAATGTGATCTCATCACTAAAAATACAAATGATATACTTACGTATTCTTTCACATCTTTCGACTTCACAGCTTTATAAGATGAGTACGCAGGATATAGCGTACCGAAGATAAGTCTGGAAGGCAGAAAATGTGCCCATTAACTCGAGAAACAAAACATTTAACACTACAGTCCGAGAGATAGTTTGAAAAATGCAAGAACAATCTTAATATTCGAGAGATATTAAATGTTATAAATAGTTTTGGAAAACATACAGTGTTAAGGAAGATATTTTCAATGACCTGGGCTAGTACATGTATTACCCTGCCTTCATAAATGTAAAGTATTTGGATATGTTTTGTCTTCTTTCATCCATTTACACAATCATTCATTTTATTAAATGAGCCTTCTGGGATACATGCCACCATATCTAAACTGATTTACAGGTTGCCAGGTAACGACAAGGTTTCCCCCCCCAGAGAGAAACTAGGAAATCAGCCATGAAAAGTTAAATGTATCCCTGGCTGATTTTGCTGACCAAGCTGTCCTGATGCTAAACTTCCAGCTATAATCCTGAGTGTTTTATTGCTTTTCTTTACATTTCAATTCCTATGCAGACACCTGTGCTGCAGGGTGTCCCACCGAGACCCTGTTGAAGTGTTACAGCCAGGCAACAGCTGTGAGGGAGACATGATCAAATTACTGACCCACATCATGTTGCACCTCTCCCGCTGCCTTTGCTTCGAAGAAACACAAGGGCACTAAAAATAAACAGATCATCTGTTGGAGACGCTACTGAGAATGTCATGTTGGAGAATGGACCCAAAATCATGCACATAACAGGGTTGTAAGCAGGCTGAGACGGTTCCATCTATGAAACCATATATTTTAATCTAAATGTATTTGCCTCACTATTTTAAGGTTGGGCCTGCTGTTGGTAGAATACTCCACACGGGCTGCAATGGCGCTGATTCATACTTTGTGCAGGTGAAAATAACCATAACTTAAATCTCGTCCTATTTGTTATCATTCAAAGCTCCAGCTATAATGGGGGTATCGGGATGTATGCATTCATTTCTTATTACATGAACAACTCTTGCATTGTAACCTGAGAAGGCTGACCCATCCCTTTTGTTTTTTCCAATATGAGACTTCAACAGAGCATATTGCTCCACTCACTGACCGCTCCTGTTGTTCTGACAGTCATCGCGCTGCTCACTGACATTTAGCTCTCTGCCTCTGATTTCTGGATCTGACTCATATCACTTGATGGATGATAATAGATGATTCAGCAAATCACGTTACCTCTTTGTCTGTGATAAATAAGGACACTTGACAAACACAAAGAGTGCCATGATACTGAGCGCAGTTCAGAAATACACCAGGTCTACACAGGCCTAGCATTCCTGCTGATGAAATGGCAAAGTGCAATCTGTTAGAATTTGGACTGTTTTTCAAGCAAAAAATGATAATACACCGCTCTCCTTAGACACAGAGGTCTGATTTCGATTACATATTAGACAATTTGCGGGGGCTTGTAAAGCGCCCCGCTCCTGCACCGTAATGAGCGTCTCAAATAGCCACAATAACAGGGAACGCATATTTATTATTAAGCTACTATATGACAGAACATATGTAAATAAATATTAAAATGACTTACACCACAAGTCTAGAGATGATCCACGAGACCATTGCGCTTGAAAGGCGACAGGACGCGCTGTCTGCTGGGAGGAGTTTCCTCCAGTTGACAGTCAGGAGGCGACGTCTGGACGCACACAGGCGGCAACGTGATGCACAATAAACACTACAGCTCTTATCCATAGATGGCAGTGTTGCCTTGCACAGACAGCACGGATACTCAGGGTATCTGCTGGGTAAAGTTGAGGCTGCCTGGCTGTGATATGTGGCATTACCTGGGGGTGGTCTTCAAAGGAAATATTTGTCTTTGGAGTCCATACTGACACCCTCTCCCCATAGGTACTCAGAGTGTGTGTACCCTGGGGCCCAAAGTACATATTAAGCCCAAAAGCAGACATGGCAGCTTCATCATTTGCTCAGAGATCTACAAACGTTGTTTACTTTTGACTAGAGAATGTATTTATAAATAGTCAACATGTAGGTAAGGATAAAGCTATTTTTCCTATCAATCACATCTCTCTCTATATGTACATCTTTAAAGTAATTTGCTTTGGCGGACCAACAGTCCAGAATCCCATATTATTTTGTATTTTTCACACAATAAATAAAAACAGTGAAACCTCATGTTGCCGTTTTTGCTTGATAACTGAAATTATGAATTGATAATCGAATACGTTTTCCCATTCATTTCCTGTGAATTTACTTATCCATTGTTCTATGATTTACATGTGACCATGTAGTATTTTACAAAACATTACAAATCTTTAACTAAATGGACATGGTCATCACACCTGAATACCAGCTCCATTAGAGCTACTGTAATTTAGCATTGTTCAGCCTCTGGCCTACATACTGTAGCCTGAGAACAGAGGCGTGGTTTTGTTAAAGCACAACAAAAGCCACTAAAGGAGTGCTGCGGCTGGTAGAAATCTAATCCACTTTGAAGGAAAAGGAACAGGAAATGCCACACCAAAAATCTTTTTTTCCTGCCCTTTTCACATTTACATTTCTCAATAATGTACTTGAATTCTGAGTCATACCACCAACACATGATAATTGATAATGCAATACCTGAACAGCAGAATGATAAAAGATCACTCATTTTAATCTTAACTGTTGAGTCGCTTATCTGAACTAGCTGTTAAGCAGGACAGGTTGATGTGTCAACCAAAGCAGATTTCAGTGCAGTTCAGTTTCTGACCTGTTGAGTGGGCTGTTGCAAGCATACCCGTTCAAGAGGACCTTAAAGGTCCCATGTCATGGCCATTTCTACTGATCATAATTCCATTGTTGAGGTCTACTAAAGTAGATTTATACTGTGCAATTTTCCAAACTCACATTGTTTCTCATACAGCATCTCTGTATTCACTCTCTGTCCTAAACGGCTTATTGGAGCTCCTGTCCCCCCCTCCCTATGAGCCCACTGGCCGTCTGCGAGACAGCGAGACACAGCGAGACACAGTGAAACCCAGCCCGAACACACACACACAGCCTGGCTGGGACTTTGTGTGTGTGTGTTCACACACCGACTCACAGCGTCCCGCCATCTCAGGGAGGAGAAATCGGCAGAGCTGCAGCTGAGAAAAGATTGAGTGTGTGTGTGTGTGTGTGTGTGTGTGTGTGTGCGTGTGCGTGTGTGTAACGGCTCCACGGATTGGTCCATTAGGGTATGGGCACGTCACTGTACCCAGGAAGAACACAATGGAAAAAGAAACATTTCCAACAAGGCGTTCTGGGGCAGCTAGACAGGTATTTTCTGTGTTAGAGTTTTACTCGCTACAGGGTGTACTTTGAGGGTTTGTGACTCTGCAGACCGTTCACATGCAGAAAAACCTTCATAACACACAAGGGGACGGGTAATAACCGGAAAAGCATGTCATTGGACCTTTAAAGCTCATATCTGATAAGATTTTGCCAAGAGTTCAGTGCTGACTGTGAGGTTAAGGGGCCAACTGTAAAGTACGTTGTTGTTAAAAGCACGATTTGGTGTAATGCAGTCTGCATACCAACAACCTTTATTCTTAAAAGTTTATTTTCTTATTTTTTCCCCCATCCACACAGAAAAAGTATACACACAGTACTTCCACAATACATAAGTTCTGCACTAACCAACCTTTTCATCTTCCTGCTGGGAAGGAACTCAACCGTAACACAAAGTCTAAGATTTAAAAAGCTGAATGTTAATGCAAAATACATGGGTTAGGGGTAGTATGTGTGCATTTTTCTGATGACTGCACTTAACATGTATGATCACATAGAACAGATACATTTTGGTTTTACAGAAATCAACTATCAAAAATGATAAATCCATCCACCATCTAGTGTTTCAGATGTAGGCATGTTAGCAGTAAACAGAACAGCTGTTTCTTACAAAATGTATCTGAACAGATTTGTAACAACTGCTGAATAGTGATCTAGGGAGTGTTTTAAGTGCAGGGCAGTTATTGAATCGCTTATTAGGATCATAAATATCCAAACCAGTCCGTAACTTAGGACATAAGAACATGATGAAGCACTGTAGGCACAGCAGGCTTTCCATACTTACATTATATACACTTTCTTAAACCTTCTGTTTGACTTTGGATAATAAAGACTTACCTAGGGTCACCCCCGATAATAAAAGACAAAATAAAGCAAAACACATTTTCTTCGCGCAGAGTAGACAAAACCTCCTATAAAAAAAAGAAGCTTTTTAAAGACACCAACTGTCGTAGCACAAAGTTAACCCCAAATGATTATGTTAATTATAATATGGAGTGGAGAGGATGCTTAGCACTGTACACCCAGCACCAGAATTGTCCTTATTAAAGTGAGCAGACTGACTTTGACAGAGCAGTACAGTTCACCTTAGCTCCTCAGAGCTGCCAATCTTGACTGCATCTCTTCAATGTCCTCCTCTGACTCATCATCTGAAGCCGCAGCAGCTGCAGGGGGCTGTATTTCCGGCAAGGCGTCGGTGACTTTGCTGGGCGCTTTGCCAAGGGCACCTGACAAAGCAAATAGAGCCATGAAACAGAGGATTCTCGAATATTAATAATCTGTGGTGTAATTCCTAGAAAAACTAGACCTCAACATTTTATAATAGAAACAAAACAGGAATGTTATATTATAATATATTGTGATATATAGATGAGAACAAATGTCTTCACCTGCTGTGATGTCAAAGAGGATCTTGTCAACCTCCTCCTCGGCTGCTTCCTCCATGTCCTCTCCATCTTCCATGCTCTCAAATGTGTCTTCAAGCATTTCCTCAATGATGCCAGCCTGTAGATGAATATGCAATGTTGCATTATAATAAAGTAATGACCAGAATCAGAAATCATGGTAGATGGTGAGTAGAGTTAGTTGCAATGTTTTAATTCTTCTAGTAACTTGATTTTTTAGTGAATTGTTTTCATTTATGTTGGGCACTGGTGCTTACCTTCATCATCTCCTTTGAAAGCTCCCTCATGGCTCCCTGGATCTCAGGGATTTTGACTAGGTTTTGCATCGCTTTCATCACCTCTGTGCTCTTCTGCAGGGCCCCAGCTACACGAAGTAAAGCTATAAACACACAAAATACAATCCCTTTACTTAGAATGCAGAACATAATGTTTTATTATAAATGAGCACACTGGTTCGACTGATGACAGTATATCATTTGACACATGTATGACAGTGTTTCCCACAGAATTTGATTCTATTTGTGGGGGCACCGCACCGCACCCGGCAAGAAAAGCCAAAGGCCCCTTAGGCTATTTGGGTGGTGCATGTATCCTCCGTCCCCCCCCTCAAAGAAGATAATACATGCGAGTTCATGGCTACTGTAGACAACGATCTTATTGCTCTGTGTTGCGTTGTTAATGAGTGAAACACACCGGAGTTGAGGATCTGTGGGGTTTATTCTCCCAAAAATATCATATATAATAATAATAATAATAACAATAGTAATACTTTTTTTTTTAATGAGATCCATTTGTGGCGGACGATATTTAATTGTGGCGGCCTGCCACAAATAAATCAATGTATGGGAAACACTGTATGATATAAGTTGTCCTGTCCTAAAGCCCCAGTGGATGTTCTCCCCAACTCACCGAGCTGATTCTTCATGCTGAGGAGCACAGAGTTCATGTGAGCTTTGGAAGCGTAAAGTTTGGTGACGGCTCGTTTTGACTGAATCATCTCCTTTGCGAGAATCACGCACACATCCCTCTGGCCCCTTTTGGCAGCATCTTTAATGGATCTTTTCACTTTTTCTTCTTCCCTTTGAATATCTGAAACAAAAGGGCATTATATTATATACAACAGAAACACTGATACAACTAATATAATATGGTCATTGAGTGTTGTGGGATATACAATCTTAAAAACACAACATCATTTTATTAATACTTATATACAATATATTTTCTAAGCTAAAAATACAATGAGATAACTCAGTAGTTCAAATCAACAGGTGACATTCTTCAAGATTTAGCTATATTATATATATTTAAAATACTTTGTTGTTTTATGATTGTTTGTCATGGAACTACAATGCAGATATATACACTGCACATACATTTTACAATAAACATATTTGTTTCTATTTGCAGGTGCTCAGTGATAGTGTCACATTCTGACTGTATCTTACCTCGGATTTGTCTGTCAATCACTCTCATTTCCTTCCTGATCTTTTGAGACCACTCAGTGACCTAAAATCATACAACGTTATTACAAATTGAATTAATTACCTTAACAGCTACAATGACTTTTGACACCCACTTCAACATAGCGCTACGTGTAACATTAGACAAAAGTAATGTATAACGTTTAACAGCTAAACTGTAACAGATCAAGATGTCAGCCAAGCTAGAGCTAACACAATCAGGATTTGTTTACATCGAGGCGTCTGACAGTTACTACTGTTAGCTCGTATGCTAGCTAGTTGGTTCTCAGTATAGAAAACAACATTAGAGGCATAACAACGGACGTAAAACGTAAATACGGTACACATAACTTATAAGTATTTTACAGGTACTGTTTTAACTTGTTTAATTGAGTAACGTCAGCTGTCCACTCAACAGAAGCAGCAACAGATTGGACGAAGTTACACTGACAGCTAACGTTAGCAGGTTAGCAAAAGGCGCTAACGTTGTTTTGTTTCTACGGACAAA